GAAGAGCTGGAGTCGGAATCGGAGTCGGAGTCGGAGTCGGAGCTGGAGGAGGAGGAGGAGGAGGAGGAGGAAGAGGACGAAGAGGAGGAGGAGGAGGAGGAGGAGGAGCTCTTGGTGGTGACGTCACCGGTGGGCGGGGCCACACTGGGCAAACTGGGAGCCGCTGGACTGCTCATACTGGGAGCACTGGAAGCCGCTGGACTGGTCAAACTGGGAGCACTGGGAGCCGCTGGACTGGTCAAACTGGGAGCGCTGGGAGGTGCCAGACTGGTCGAACTGGGAGCCGCTGGACTGGTCATACTGGGAGCCGCTGGACTGGGAGCACTGGGAGCCGCTGGACTGGTCAAACTGGGAGCCGCTGGACTGGTCAAACTGGGAGCCGCTGGACTGGTCAAACTGGGAGCCGCTGGACTGGGAGCACTGGTCAAACTGGGAGCACTGGGAGCACTGGTGATGGTCTGAGGTCCGGCACTGGTCAAACTGGGAGCACTGGGAGCCACTGAACTGGTCAAACTGGGAGCCGTTGGACTGGTCAAACTGGGAGCGCTGGGAGCCGCTGAACTGGGAGCACTGGGAGCCGCTGGACCAGTTGAACTGGGAGCACTGGTGATGGTCTGAGGCGCTGGACTGGGAGCACTGGTCATACTGGGAGCACTGGTCGTGGTCTGAGGTCCGGCACTGGTCAAACTGGGAGCACCGGGAGCCGCTGGACCGGTCAAACTGGGAGCACTGGGAGCGCTGGTGATGGTCTGAGGCGCTGGACTGGTCATACTGGGAGCACTGGGAGCGCTGGTCGTGGTCTGAGGTCCGGCACTGGTCAAACTGGGAGCACTGGAAGCCGCTGGACCGGTCAAACTGGGAGCGCTGGGAGGTGCCGGACTGGTCAAACTGGGAGCCGCTGGACTGGTCAAACTGGGAGCGCTGGTCATGCTCTGAGGTCCGGCACTGGTCAAACTGGGAGCGCTGGGAGCTGCTGGACTGGTCTGAGGCGCTGGACTGGTCATACTGGTGACACTGGTGATGGTCTGAGGTCCGGCACTGGTCATACTGGGAGCCGCTGGACCGGGAGCACTGGTCATACTGGTGACACTGGTCATACTGGGAGCACTGGGAGCGCTGGGAGCCGCTGGACTGGTCACACTGGGAGCACTGGGAGCGCTGGTGATGGTCTGAGCTGCTAGACTGGTTATACTGGGAGCTGCTGGACTGGTGACACTGGTCGTACTGGGGACACTGAAAGCTCCTCCACTGGTCATACTGGGAGCGCTGGTCATACTGGGACCTGCTGGACTGGTCACACTGGTCATACTGGGAGCACTGGGGATGGTCTGAGATGCTCCACTGGTCATACTGGGAACGCCGGTCACTTTCTGAAGTGTTGGACTGGTCATACTGGTCACACTGGGAGCCGCTGGACCAGTCATACTGGGAGCACTGGTGATGGTCTGAGGAGCTGGACTGGTCATACTGGTCATACTGGGAGCCGCTGGACTGGTCACACTGGTCGTACTGGTGACACTGGTCATTTTCTGAAGTGTTGGACTGGTCATACTGGGAGCCGCTGGACTGGTCATACTGGTGACACTGGTGATGGTCTGAGGTCCGGCACTGGTCACACTGGTCATACTGGGAGCACTGGGAGCTCCTCCACTGGTCATACTGGTGACACTGGGAGCCGCTGGACTGGTCACACTGGGAGCGCTGGTCACTTTCTGAAGTGCTGGACTGGGAGCACTGGTGACACTGGGAGCCCCTAGACTGGTCATACTGGTGGCACTGGTCATACTGGGATGGGCGGCACTGGTCATACTGGTCACACTGGGAGCCGCTGGACCGGTCAAACTGGTGGTACTGGGAGGTGCTGGACTGGTCACACTGGTCAGACTGGTGGTACTGGGAGGTGCTGGACTGGTCACACTGGTCAAACTGGTGGTACTGGGAGGTGCTGGACTGGTCACACTGGTCATACTGGGGACACTGGTGATGGTCGGAGGTGCTGGACTGGTCACACTGGTCAGACTGGTGGTACTGGGAGGTGCTGGACTGGTCACACTGGTCAGACTGGTGGTACTGGGAGGTGCTGGACTGGTCACACTGGTCAAACTGGTGGTACTGGGAGGTGCTGGACTGGTCACACTGGTCAGACTGGTGGTACTGGGAGGTGCTGGACTGGTCACACTGGTCAAACTGGTGGTACTGGGAGGTGCTGGACTGGTCACACTGGTGGGACTGGTCAAACTGGTGTTACTGGTGGTGATGGTACTGGTCAGTCCGGTGGCGTTACTGGTCAAACTGGTGTTACTGGTGGCCCTGGTGGCTCTGAGGATGGCGGCGCCCAGTGGGCTGACCCCGGCGGGGACACCGGTGCTACTGGTCATACTGGGAGCACTGGGAGCACTGGGAGCCGTTCCCACGGTGACACTGGTGACACTGGGAGCACTGGGAGCCGTTCCAATGGTGCCACTGGTCATACTGGGAGCGGTTCCCACGGTGGCACTGGTGTTACTGGGAGCACTGGGAACCGTTCCAATGGTGGCACTGGTGTTACTGGTCATACTGGGAGCACTGGGAACGGTTCCCACGGTGACACTGGTGACACTGGTAACCTTGGACGTGGCACTGGTCATACTGGGAGCACTGGGAGCACTGGGAACGGTTCCCACGGTGACACCGGCGGTTCCCACGGTGGCTCTGGTGACACTGGGAGCACTGGGAGCTGTTCCAATGGTGCCACTGGTCATACTGGGAGCACTGGGAACGGTTCCCACGGTGACGCCGGTCGTTCCCACGGTGGCTCTGGTGACACTGGAGGTGGCACTGGTCATACTGGGAGCACTGGGAACGCCGCTGACCGTTCCCACGGTGACACTGGTGACACTGGGAGCACTGGGAGCCGTTCCCACAGTGCCACTGGTCATACTGGGAGCACTGGGAGCACTGGTGACCATTCCAACGGTGGCTCTGGTGACACTGGAGGTGGCACTGGTCATACTGGTCATACTGGGAGCACTGGGAGCCGTTCCCACGGTGACACCGGTGACACTGGTGGCCTTCATGGTGGAACTGGTCATACTGGGAGCACTGGGAACGGTTCCCACGGTGACACCGGCGGTTCCCACGGTGGCTCTGGTCACACTGGTCATACTGGGAGCACTGGGAGTGGTTCCCACGGTGGCTCTGGTCACACTGGTCACACTGGTCATACTGGGAGCCGTTCCCAATCCCATACTGGTCATACTGGGAGCAGTTCCCACGCTGACCCCGCCCACTCTCACCCCTCCCCCCCTCCCCATAACCCCTCCCCCCGCCGGCCCCGCCCCTCTGCCCAAACCCAGGCGGGTCATGGGCGTGGCCAGGCGGGCGGGGGGCGTGGCCAGGCGGCTGGGCGTGGCCAGGGGGGGCAGGGCGGAGGCGGCCACGGGGGAGGAAGGTAAACTGAGGCGCGCGGCCGGGAGCAGCGACCCCAAAACCCCGCC